AAAGGCGAGGATAACCTAATGTGTAGCTATGCGCTAAAAGCAACAAGCAAACAAGCAATTAACAGTAAGTCCAAAGTAGTTCATATTGACAATATTATTGTGTTATAAAATGAACCGTGAACTATTGAAATCTAAATGTAAAGGTAATTTTATAGCTGAATATATATATTTCTCAAATCTAAAAAAAACAACTAAAAACAAAAGAATGTGAGATTCATACATTGGTCTTAACTTCAATACATTAAACGTATAGGCTTCCCAGTCAGAATTCTCAACAAAAAAAGTATATTTCATCTTTAACACGTCTAAAATCAAACTGTATTTCCTGTATTAAAGCCTCATAAGACGTAATGCAAAGAGATAAATAAATAATATAGAATAGAAAAATACGCTGAATACCACCTTAATATCTCTATTCGTCCTAGAATAATCGTTTTTAATTCTTTACAGTCATGTTTTGTAAACCTGTGTATTTCTATATTTAGCTTTATTACTAACTATTATTATCAAGATACTTTGAGGTACTGACGCTTATTTTCTGTTTAATTCTTTACAGTGATGTTTTGTAAACCTGTGTATTTCTATATTTAGCTTTATTACTAACTATTATTATCAAGATACTAGGAGGTACTAACTCTTATTTTCTGTTTAATTCTTTACAGTCAGGTTGTGTAAACCTGTGTATTTCTATATTTAGCTTTATTACTCACTATTATTATCAAGATACTTTGAGGTACTAACTCTTATTTTGTGTTTAATTCATTACAGTCATGTTTTGTAAACCTGTGTATTTCTATATTTAGCTTTATTACTCACTATTATTATCAAGATACTTTGAGGTACTGACTCTTATTTTCTGTTTAATTCTTTACAATCATGTTGTGTAAACCTGTGTATTTCTATATTTAGCTTTATTACTCACTATTATTATCAAGATACTTTGAGGTACTGACTCTTATTTTCTCCTTGTTATAAAGCACATGTTCTTTAGAAGCAATGTTTCTTTTGTTATTGCTGTTTTTTTCACAAACAATGATACATGTTTTTAAACAGACAGCACAAGTCTCTTATGAAGTATTAAATGTTTACGGAAATATTCTCTTTCCCATCAAATATTTTGCAAGGTTACATTGAAATGTATGTAAATTATTTTGTTCTTATGAACTATAACCACATATTCGACAAACGTGCCACAGTTGATATGAATCTCAAAACATACGACTCATATTCTTCCACCTCGTGGTTTATTTCTCAGCAATAGCGTTTTTCTAATACATATATATATATTTATCAACATTCCTGCTATTTAATCCCGAGTCCATGTAAAGAAATAGCATTGCATATCTTTATAAAGTTTGTTCAATAAGCATGTAATTCATCAAATATTTTCTATTGAACTTAACCATATAGCAGGCTTCAGTTTCTCATGGTTTCAAAACATGGTTTTCAATATATGTGCAGTGTATTCAATAAGCTATATTTATGTCCATAAGGAAATATAATTGAAACATATAAGAGAAACGGAATACATTTAACTTGTTAAAGAATGTGGGCATGTTCTGGAGAATGTAATCGAGATTTTTTTTTAATATGAAACTTTTCGTACATCTCAGTGATGAAAATACTTTTTATTTCCTAAATAACTCGAAATAGCGAATTCAAAATCGAAATGCCCTTAGAAATTATATTCGTGTTCTGTGCTTTAATCATAAATTCAATTATTTTAAATTCTTAGGTGAATAATCGACATCCCACATCATGCAAAGACTCGTTATTTAACTTTAATAATCCCACACAAATGAGCCACTTAACGAAATACACAATGTGTTTAATGAATCGATTTTTTTTTCATAATACCTTTAAACATGGAATACAGTCATAGGAAATTTCAGCAATGACGTATATCATTATAACAGTAAAATGTTTAATTTACCAAATTTTAAAGAATCATTGTTTTTTGTTAATGAGTAAATAAATAATCTCGATTTCAAATAATTTCAATCAGCTTCCTAATTAGAGATGATCTGACATTATCTGTTATTTTTAAACAAAACAATTATTAGTCGAGATATTTTTAAAATAGTTAATAAATGACTCTTTTTCTCTTTGAAAATGGGGTATTATTCTTAATGTATTTTTAATTACGTTTGTATACGTCTATTCTTATTTGCTTGTTATCTAAGCTACAGTTTATTAACGCCTTAAGCGATATTTAAACGACTAACTGTCATAATTACGTGTTGATAAAATAAAACAAACACCTATATTATTCATACCCCCTAAAATAAACCATGTTTAATTGAGCTATGATTCTGCTTCCGGGCTACGTCGGAAGCATTTATATGGTACTCGAATCAAACAACACATTGCTATTTCACATTTCCTACACCAAACGTGTAGCAGTGTTTTATATTAATTGGTAGAGCAGTTCTTTTTGTGATACTGTCATTTAAGCAACATCAAGGAAAGATAATGGTGCTTCAGAAATACTTACATCTGCGAGAGATATAAAAATGGCATGGGATTTTCTTTCTTTAACGCTGGATGTCAGTAAATTATTAACCTTATCTATTCACTGCTAGCGAGGTTAAATGTCACGTATGTATGCAATAGGTGGCGTACAATAAAATACAAGCGCGAAAAACATTGGTTTTATAACTGTTCGCCCCCCAGTGGCACGGCAGTATTTCTGAGGACTTACAACGCTAAAAACCGGGTTTCGATACCCATGGTGGGCAGAGCAATACAAACTGTTGATTATTTGCCACCTAGTTTAAGTAGTCTTCACTGCCGAATCTCAAACTATGAATAGATGCTGATTGACAGCTTTGGCATCTAAGTTGAAAGTGTTCTCCTACAACATGATAATGATAGAAGTCATACCTTTTTCCATGTAATAAACTAAACTTAAAAAACAGTGCATGACCAAACGGTTATCGTGCCAGGAATATATACAATGGTGCTAGGTTCGCGTCTCTTAGCCACAACATCACGCTCTGTACTTTAGAGCCAGGGGTGCACTCTAAAAAAGACAATAAATTCAACTATTTGGTCTGACAAGAGTTGACGGTTAGTGCTGTTGACTATCTGTCTATCTTCCCTGTAATCTACCACTTCAAAACTAGGGACAACTAGTGCGAATGACCCTCGTCTAGCGTTGCGCGAAAGTCAACAAACAAACTCTCTACCTCACTCTAACCCCCCTCAAAATAATATATATTGGTACTTTACATTTTCTTATGAAAGTTAACTGCGCACAGCATATTTATCAACCTCCACAATTAAGATCAAGAAACTATTTAAAGATATCGAAGTAAACATTGTTGTTTCACTTCATCCAACATTAGATGGCCCGGCATGGCCAGATGGTTAGGGCACTTGACTCGCAATC